CTCCCCATGTCATTATTAAAAATAGGGAAACATAATTAAAAAAAAAGAGAGATAAATCTAGTAAAGAATACAAAAATAACTCATATAAAAGGGATGAACTACTTGATAAAAGCGGGAAAAAATATGCACTAAGAGGCACATTACAAAAGGACATACAATCATATTTCTCACAACCATGGATGAAAATAAACTTTGGGACCAGTTCATTTAGTCGAGGTCTTTTATGGTATTCTTCAGCTTTGTTGATATATTTAAGGATATTTTTTCATATGTTATTCGTGAAGGTGGTGATTTTTTGAGGTTGTCTGTTTTTTGTTCTTTCCTTACTTTTATCTTTTAGGAAGTTTTTTCTCATTATACCCGCACAAACAAAAATTCCTACCTCAACTACAAAAATAGGGTTTGTTTCATTAAAGTTAATGTGTATGAACTCTTATATTGTCATGGAGTTTAAATTTCAATAATCAAAACAACTTATAGGTAAGATTAGGATTCTTACCAATAATCTCGGATCCTATAATTTTACCAATTTTGTCACCTTAAGAAGAAATTTCTCCTATTGTAGAGTAAAATAAAAGATAATCACTACTAGAAAATACCCCTTTTACCTCGATTATAAAAGAGATTTTATCTTAGTTTTATAGGTGAGGTAACAAAGGACGACATGAAAATTCACCACTTTTCCCCTCGGATAAAGTTCCACCAAGGGGAAAATTATAGTGATCATGAGTTTGATCAACAACAACAATATTTTAGTCTTAACCTATTTTTTCATTTTAATCTGCAAAATATTAAATTTTTTGACAAATTCTAAATCTTTTTCGTCATCATCATCAACAACAACAACGACAACAAAAACAAAATCAATAAAATCCTTAAAAATGAAATCTCAACAACAACAATAATAACAAAAACAACAACGACAATAAAAATAACAACAAAATCAATAGAATCTTTAAACATTAAATCTCAACAACAACAACAACAACAACAACAAATAAAAAAATCAATAGAATCATTAAGTATTAAATCTCAACAGCAACAACAACAACAAAAATATTAAATATTTTACGTGATACAACAACAACTAACATTAATAAGTTCCTTTCATGCTTCCCTAACTAACATTAAACTTTTTTAACAAGGAATTATTAGAGAAGAGTTTACATTAAGAAAGCAAACCATGAAACATTTTTCTGCTCTTTCTTTCATTATCATTTTTTTTATTATGTTAAGTTATTTCACCACTTTGTATTCAAGATGGATAGTTGTGTCATTCACATTCTGATTGTCTAATGAGAGTTTCACGCGAATCGCTAATATTTTATGTGGATTAATAAGTTGTCAATGTCTTCACCATTGTTACTTTATAAATGGACGACAAAGATCCGTTACTTAATTTTTCATCAAATTGATCATAAATTTAAATATAAAACATGCTATTTTACCCCCTTGATTTCCAGTTCAATCGAGGTAATGAATCATAAAAAAATTAAAAGGTAATAAAATGTAGTTATTGAGATTCAAAGTCATGTCCCCTAAATACTTTACCCCTCAGTTTCCAGGTCAACTGAGGTAATAGGTCATAAAAATACTTTTAAAAGTATTTTTAAAAAATTAAAAAGTACTAAAATATAGTTATTTGGATTCGAAGGCATGTCCCCTAAATACTTTTATCTCTCGATTTCCATCTCAACCGAGGTAATAGGTCATAAAAAAAATTTTAAAAAAAAGTGCTAAAATATAGTTGTTGAGATTCGAAAGCGTGTCCTCTAAATACTTTACCTCTCGGTTGCCACCTCAACTGAAGGAGTGATGGTATTTAAAAAAATGTAACTTACACCTCGGTTTTTTGTTGGGTGAGAAGAAAGTTTTGTCATAAAATATGTTATTTGTAGTAGTGAATATTTATATTTTTCGTCAAATGATTTGAACAACCACTATCTATATGTTATTTAGAGTTCGAGTTGTCAAGTATATGTTTATCAGAATTCTTCTTGTGTTAGTGAAATATGTATTATCTCTCGGTTTCTAACTAGAATAGAAGAGAGATGAAGAAGACATGTTTCTTTTTTATTTTCATGATATTATTTATAGAAGTGAGAATGAGAATAATAATTTTTTTACTTTCATGACTTTTTATAATAAAATAAAATAAAGCAACATAGTCATTTTTATTGCAATATTACATACATGTAAACTACATTTTAGCGGTTCTATTAGCATGACAATATTACTGAAACTCTTAGCATTTTTATTTCGTTCTAACATATATCAACTTTATTATAAGTTGTGAAATTTTATTCGATAACTGACAAGATTTCACACATACAATATTGAGACAATGTGTGAGACAATATAATTATAGTGGTATAATTTATTAGGCCTATAAGAAGAGATAATCTGTAAAAAAGATGAGAGGTTAAGCGCAATGGCGAGGGCCGAGCTACCTGCCAAACCAGAGGCCGTCTGAATGAGCCATATGATCGCCTGAAAGAGGCCACGAGGCCGCCTGGGTTGGGCTCCCACTGTCCTTTCACCGAGTAAATGTGAGCTCATAATGACTAATCAAAGAGAGTCGGTAAAAAGAGGAAATTGCTTCCTCCAAGATTCTAGGAAGAATAAGTCTGCCCATGACCACTCACTTTGTATTCTATGCACAAAAGAGTCTCTATAAATATCTCAATTAAGGAGTGAGTTAAATCTCTAACACGGAAAAAACACCTATATGGAGTTTTTCACTCCGTGTGGTTAGCTCTAAACCTCAACAAATCCTAAATCAACTGATAACTCTTATTCAATTGAGGTTGTCACGCAAATTGTACTTTTATCTCTTATTGACCTCATGACTTACATTCTCACTTATCTCTGCTACATTTCCACGAGCTTTGCTTATAGGAATGATGTTTAAATGTTTTCATAAATATTTTTGCAATTCACTCCTATTAGTTTTTAAGCTCATCTTTGAAATTATTGCTTGAAAATGAAAATGATAAACATTCGAGAGTGTCATGATTCTTGCAGTTATCTATAAAACTAATATGTTCATTAACATATTATTTGCTTGCTATTGGTTGAGTTCTTATTATTATAATTTTAGGAAATAGTTGTGTAAAATGGAAAAGTATTGTGTTTGTGTTACATAAAGGCTTGATATAATTTCTCTTACTTAATTTTACTTAAGTTTCGAGTTTGTCTTGATTTGTAACAATAGTGTTTGAGATTACCGTCTAAATTTATCTCCATCTTAACATAATTTACTTATTTTTTGTGTTTGAAATCACTCGTCTAAATGCGAGATGTGATGCCGAAGAAATTTTGTAAATAAACAATTCACAAATAAAATTCAATGGATTTCCAGGTTATCCTTTGATTTTAGTTGCAGTTGCTATGGCTTAATAGGGAGTTGATTTAACTATGATGCAAATGCACCCTATTGCATCTCCACTAAGCTTCATCCATCTTACATCCAATATTGTTATTCTTCTTTATGTGTTTAATTACTTTTCTTATAACCAAACTATAAATTGTAAATCTAATTAACATACCACAAAATCTAGGGATGTCAGTTTGGACCTGTTAATGGGGATCCCCGCGGGGAACGCCCCGTTCGGGGCCCCAAAGATGGGGAATTTTCCCCCGTGGGGGCGGGGATGGGGAGAAAAATCCCCCCGAGAGCATTTCGGGGACGGGGACGGGGAATACACCCCCCGCCCCGCCTATTATTTTAATATAGTTAATTTAATATATATATTTTAGATTAGGTTTTTTAGTCATTTCCTTTATGTTTATTTATAAAAATAAATAAATAAATATTCATGTATTTATTAAGAGAGAGAAATGTAAATATTAGACCCTAAAAAAGTTGAAGCGTTTCATTTTCTTCTGCCAGACATTTAGAGTCTCACACGTTAGACTCCTTTTTTTCTTCTCTAGTCAAATCTCCATTCATCTTCCTCTTCCAATTCCATCTTCTCTATTTGGTGTGCTTCCATTATTCACAGCTCTTACAATTTCATCAATAAGGTTTGATTTTCATTTTGTTGAATTTTATAGCATTTTATAGAAATTTATAAAAAAAATATTATTATTTTGTGTTCCATTAGTATTTTTAATAAAAAATAATAAATGTCAAATACTAGTATTTTTTAATAACATAATAAATATGTGAATTCTTTGTGCTTTTTATTTTTATAGAAAATATAAACATTTTAAAAAAATAAAATATTAATGAATAAATGTAGGATCTATGGGGATCCCCACAGAGAACGGGGATCCGCGGGAAACGGGAATGGGGATAGAAATTTCCCCGTGACGGAGATCGGAGACGGGGACGGGGAATGAATTTAATAGCGGGGAAAAAGATAGGGAAGTGTCCCCCCGGCCCCGCTCCGCCCCATTGACATCCCTAACAAAATCAAACTACAATACTTGGTAAGAGTTTGTTTTCACAATAGTGATGATAGCAATAATAAAAAGTATTAAAATTCTTTTAATAGAAAACAATTTTAATTTGTCTTTTTCTCAACGAGTATCCCTACTCGTTAATCTTACATTTATTCTCTCCTTTTCTAATTTCAACTCTTCAACAACCGTTATTAAACGCGGTCCAATTATCCCCAATATAACAACAATCCATTTCCAAATTCTTCTCATTCCCACTTCCATTTCTCTATCAAGTTTTTCACTTTCCCCTTTCTCCTCAATCCATTCCCCAATTCATTCCTGGGTTTTCAATCAATTTCATCTTTTCATTCCTCAATTTTACCAATTTCAAAACCCTAAAATCCCCAATTGAATGTTCAATTTTTGTTCCCGGAGTGTTAAATCACTCATTCTCGAAAATTGTCTTTGAAATTCCATCTGGGTATTTTAATTTACTGATAAAGTTTTCAAATTTGACAGAAAAATTCAATTTTTTGTACTATTTGATAACTGGGTCTGTGTTTGTTTTATGCTTATAATATAAAAAGCTTATGTGATATTTGTGTTAAGTAAGAATGCGTTTTCCAACAGAATATCTAGGTTCTTCTATTCTGAATCTACGTAGTACTCAAGTTCACTCTATGGAAAATTCAAGCTTAGAACAAGAGCTTAACTTGTTTCAGAAGCATGTTACTGATAGGTTCAATGAACTATCTTCTGTTTCAAGCAATGATTTGTTGTCACTTACTTGGGTTAGGAAGCTTCTAGATGCATTCCTGTGTTGCCAAGAGGAGTTTAGAATGATTCTTCATAACCATAGATTGAAAGTGTGTAAACCGCCTTTGGATCGTTTGGTGAATGAGTTTTATGAGAGGAGTGTGAAAGCATTGGATATATGTAATGCTATTAGTGATGGTGTTGAAATGGTTAGACAATGGGAGAAGCTATTGGAGATTGTTCCTTGTGCTTTGGATCATAAAAGAATCATTAGTGAAGGCAAATTCCGTCGGGCTAAGAAAGCTCTTGTTGATTTGGCTATTGTTATGGTTGATGAGAGTAATGAAGATTCTAATAATGTTTTTTCATTTGCATCTAGAAGTAGATCATTTGGTAGAAACATTGTTAATAGAGATCGTCATCATCGAGGAGATTCATCTGTATTTGGGCAATTTAGACCATGGAGTGAATCAAGGAATTGGTCAGCTATTAGACAATTACAAGCAATAGGGAACAATCTTTATTTTCCTAGAAATAATGATCTTGTTGCTTCAAATGGTATTGCATTGACTATTTATACAATGAGTACAATTTTGTTGTTTACAATGTGGGCACTCGTGGCTGCAATTCCTTGTCAAGATAGGGGATTACATCTCAACTTTTCGATTCCGTGGAAGTTATCATGGACGGCTCCGGTAACGTTGCTCCACGAGCGGATTTTGGAGGAGTCGAAGAACGGGGAGAGGAAGAACTCTTGTGGTCTTTTGAAGGAGATTCAGAAGATTGAGAAGTGTGATAGGGTGATAAATGATTTGGCGGATTCTTTGCAGTTTCCTTTGAGTAAGGATAAAGAAGATGAAGTTAGAGTTAAAGTGGAAGATGTTGTGAATATATGTGAAAGTTTGAAAGATGGATTGGATCCTTTGGAAAGACAAATTAGGGAAGTGTTTCATAGAATTGTTTGTTGTAGAATGGAAGGGCTTGATTCTCTGCATAGATATTAGATAGTAACAAAACATCATCAATGGTTTTTGATAAGATTTGAACTATGTCTTATAAAATTGCAAAGTTAAGTTGATATCTAAATCAATTTGATAGTGTGATTTGTAGTTTACTTAAAAAAGTGAAAATTGTGGATAAAAAAACAGCCGCAATAGATGAAGTGGATTTGTAAATTATGGTTTACTATTAACATATACATATAATGTTGAGTTTAGATTTTGAATTAGACTTTTGTAATCTATGCTAATTTTGTTTGTAATTATGTATGGATGCATTTTCTTATGTGACTTTGTTGCAAGTCTTTTTCTCTATACTACTAAAATGCAAGTCCTTAATTGTATGAGCCTAAACGAATTTAAAAAAAAAAGGATTATCTCTTCCACATTTAAGAGTACTCCCATAGAACCGTGAAAAGTCACGATTGTTCATAGTATTCGGAGATGTATCTCCAGACGGTATTTTTTTACACACTTTTCAATGCAAATTGATTAGAAATATTTAATTTACTAAAATTTAATTCGAAGATGCATTTTTGTAAGAGGTCATTCTGAAGATGCATATACGTAAACACCATTAATTCAAAATCCAGTGGATGGTACAAAGATGCATCTCCAAACGGGGTTAATACATTAACACGCGCCAAAACCTTCCTTGTTCCTCCTTTATTTGTCTCAAAATTAACCTAAAACAAAAACCAACTAGTGCTCTTCCTTGGTCGTTCAAGTTTCTCATCCAACCAAGTTTCTCACTGCATTCTACTTCATTTGCTGCAAAGCCTCTCACTCCATTCAAGCTTCTCATTCACAACTTAGGTTTGGTAAGTTTTTCAAAAACTAATCCTCTTTTTTGTTTTGAATGATTTTTTAGGAAAAATAAGTTGTTTAAGTTATATTAGATAATGTGCAATCGAAATAGGTAGCCTAGATGGACATGGATTGAAAGTTTTTTTTTTGGATTTTAGGGCAGCAGTGACGTTTTTGCCATTTTTGTAAAATCACAGTTTTGTCTGGAGATGTATCTTTGGATTTTTTCTGAACTATTTTCGAGATGTATCTCTGGATTTGGACCTGACAATATTTTGGTTGCATATTTTATTTTCTTATTTTGTTTTATCACAGTTTCAATGGCTGAAAAACAACCCTTGTAGAAGTACGCTCGATTGTGTGTCCTAAACTGCAGTGTACGATATTATAAGGCCTATAGCAGAACCATGAGGCCACGATTTGGTGAAACCTCTTTTGATGGTTCACAATGCTGAAGATCCCAACCATTAAATTCTCGTAAATGGCTACATGAGGCATATACTTCATGGAGCCACAACTCTCAAGATGATGAAGCAACACTTGAAGCCCCTGAAGCCTAGGAGGAACCCGCTGCTAACGCCTCTTTAGAGAGATATCCTGAGACCCATATAACACCTTCTTACTACAATTTTATGCAGACCATTCTGCTAGGCATGTATGAGAATGAGAGGGATATTTATTTACTTTTTCAACACATATGTTTTAAACTAATTAAATCGATATTGTTGGTGTTTTTTTACAGGAACGTTAGTGTCTAAAATTAGTAAACCCATCATGAAGATATTGGAGTTAGAACAACCAGACGCCGATTGGTTCAGGGATGTTGTCGATTATTTTGTTCTTGTCGATTTATGTATTATTGTGCAAATGACCATAAACCATGGCATGCAAGTGATATTTATTGAGAGATGACATTTAGAGGCATCATATTTCCACCTTCCATTAGGAAAGATGACCATCACCCTGGATAACGTCTCTTGTCCCATCAAGGGAAAGTTATTGTGCCACAAAAGGCTTGGTCTAGAGGTAGCCAGTAAGACGTTGGTTACATATTTGGGGACTGACCCAACTAAGGCAGAAAATGAGGTAGCTCACACTAGAGGAACTGATGCTAGATTTAAGTTTTTGGAAGATCTCTAAAAAGACCACCCACGGTGGGCGGAAGAGGTCGAAGGTGATGGTATGCAAGTTGAGTACCATCGAACTTGCGCATTGAGGTGTTACCTCTTATTCTTGGCTGATACGTCCATTTTTATGGACAAAAATGCAACCTATGTCGATGCAATCTACCTTAAGTACTTCACCGACTTGATTCTAATTCACGAGTACAACTAGGATACGACCTGTTTAGTCTACATGTACTCGAAGCTGAGCGAGGGTTGTCTTTGGAAGACAATGCAAATGACAGGAAGTTGCATGTTGCTTATGGTAATCTATTTTTACAAATATTTTTATAATTCATGAGTTGCACTTGTTATTAATATTATATCTAAACTTTTTTTAGGTATGGATCATCTCCCACTTCTCCCGCATCACCGGGTGGGAAGTTGTGCCTGCCTACACTAAATATTGCCCACGTGATGTCGCCTTTACTCTATATAGAGGAAATAGTGCTATCGATCCATTCAGAGTATATATTGAATATCATGTACCATATGACATTTCCTTCGGTTCATACGACGATCAACGTGAGACGCGCCAACTGTACGTCATCTCATTATACTCTAGATGGTTGACAAGGTCAACTCTGATACATTCTTATCTTCCTGAGCAAGTGATGCGGGAGTTTGGATATTTTGAGATTATTCTGAGACCCCCTCATATTAGTAAGCTCCTCCTACAATCCGTTGCAGAGATTTTGATGATTTCGAGAGCCATTTGGTACCACATGAGTATCGTAGGTTCCCATCTCCTGTACACTGGGAAGTTGAAAAGGCTACATCACATGGTTCTATAGGGTGTCACACCCTATTATGACACTAGAAGCTCCTGGAAGACCACCTAGACTAGCAAATCAGGAGGTACTTAAGGATAAGGATAACCACAGCAAGGACGTGTCAGTGGTATGCCGGTGTATTTTGAAGATGGGGAGATCAGGCCTAGAGGTAGAAGTCTTTGAGAAAGGCAGCCCCCATTTGGACCTCGTAGAAAACATTATTATCGAGGCACATAATGTCTTATAGTGCATGCAAAGGAGAAGCTGAGGGGTTGACAAACCTAGTAGTTTATGTTTCATTGTATTTTTGTTTGTTTTTTAGGAACAAGTTATGTATGTCTTATACATTTTGATTGTACTTTAATTAATGTGTGACGCTTTTACTACATATTTGAATCAATTAGTTTAGGGAATTTCTTAATGCACCCCATAACCTTCTAGCGTACCGTGTAAAATTTTGAAAATAAACTTAGATTCTGAAAATGAATTTCCGGAAGCACCGCAAACACATACAATGCATTTGTTTTTGCGTTACGTCCAATTTTTACGACTAAATTTATTTCAGAAATATATTTCCAGAACATATTATATTAGCAGTTTTTGGTATCTCCCACTTTGAACATCATATCAGTATCATTAGTTTTAGTATCTCCATTGTTATTTATTTCACTTTGACAATAGATAACGTTAATTGAAAACTATCTATTAATTTTTTGTATTTATATTGGGTTTGATTTCAAATGACCTAGTTCTTATTTACATTGTTCACTTCTTCTTTCTCGCCCTAATGATCTAGTTTTGATGCTTTTCTGTTACAATTATTGATAATTTTTTATTCTTCTGTTAATACATAATTATATGTATGATTTGAAAATTATAATAATTATGATTAATGTTCAACAACAGTTTCATGAATAAATCACCGTTTATATTGGGTATGAATAAATCACCGTTTATATTGGGTACTGCCATCAAAATTGGTGAAAGTAAATAATTTCTCTTTGAGATTTAACAGTGAACAAACATGGGTAATAAACTATCAATGGTTTGAGAAGATCCGAAAATATATTTTCGGAGACATTTCGTAAATGTATTTCCGAAATAAATTTAGTCATAAAATTGGGACATAATTCAAAAACGAATGAATTTTATGTGTATAAGATGCATCTGGAAATGTATTTCCAAAATATGAAGGGTATTTTCAAAATTTTATAGGGTGTTTTTCCACACCATAGAGTGCTTTAAGAAATTCCTTTAGTTTATTCATTTTTTAAATTTATGGCCTAAAATCATCTTGTTGTACCCCAAAATTTGCCCTCTCATTTTACTCAACAAATGTCAATTGAGGCCCCCAAGTTGCTCAAGGAAGTCCAAGAGTTGACCAGACAAACTCTCTCCTAAGGTAGTATACCTCAAATTAGGGTTTCCCTTTTCATCAAGATGTGTGAACCACAAAGGACTAGAATTCTTCCCAAGGTCCTAATATATTCCCAAGATCATCCATGTCAAGTTTCATGCCTTGCACAAAGAAGTTTGCTCAGTCAACTGCTCAAATGCTTGAGAATCGACTGTATTAGGTCAAAAGTCAATTGTGGCCCACATACAGTCAAACCTCAAGATTTTTGGTCAACATCAACATTTTTAAGTGACTTCCATCATTTGATCAAGGGTTGATCATGATTTCTCAAGGAATGCTCCAAATAAATCAAAACCAAAAAGTTGCTAAATTAGGGTTTTGTAGGAAAAGTCAACCCAACTTTGACCAAGCATAACTTCTTCATACTTTATCAGAAATTTTCCATCCAAGGCTCATTTTGAAGAGGATGCAACTCCCTACAATTCATCTTCATCCCAAAAGTTCAAAATGTGCACTCATCAAAAAATATAAATTTTTACATTATAGGTCCTTTTGAAAAGTCAACAAAAACACCTTTTGGGTCAAAGCTTCATACATGAACATGGAAGATCCAATTAAGCTGAAACCAAAAGGCTTATTTAGGGGATATCATAAGATTTCGAAAAAGTCCAAGAACACCCTCCTAGGGTCAAAATTGAGAGAGTTGTGCATTGTCAAAGTTGGCAATTTTTGGAAAAATGTCAAAAGTCAACATTGACCAAAGTTGCATTTTTTCCAAAGGGGCCCATGTTTTCTTGTTTGAAACATGTTTCTAATAGGACCCAAGACCCCTGAGATTTTTCACCTATTATTTTATTATTTTTATCATTTATTTTGAATTTTTATTCATTTAAATCAAAATAAATC